CAAATTCAATTATTCCTATAAGAATTAGAAGCAAGAACGAGACTTTAATTTATTAGGTGTGGGAGTTCTTTTTCAATTGAAGCTATCAATAGTAATAATATAAAAATAGAAAAATAAGTATTAAAAAGATTTATTAGTTTCGGAGATAGATATATAATACCACATGTTAGCATGTAAACCTAATACCTTTAGGAACATGTTAGATTTCCTATTAGTATAATTACTTTCGGAATATGGACATATTTTTAGCCATGTAATTCTATTACTTTTAGAATGTACTTCTTATTATTATAAAAACACGATAGACCAAAACAGCCCTAAAATATTAAACAGAAGAACTCATAGGAAAAAGACATAACTGTAATAACTTTTTTTTTTGGACTACAACAACTTTTATGTTAATTTTTTAATATTTAATATTTTTCCTCCATATTGGTAATACATTACCGCTCTATCCAATACCAAAAAACAAATAAAAGTAATATTAAACGTACTGCATAAAGCGTTGAGATTGAGAAGAAAAAACTCTCACGATAATATATTATTATATTATATTTGAACTGCTTTCCTACTTAAATAATATTTTGATTATTATTAATTTTTCATGTAATATTGAAAAATATACCCAATTATTAAAGAACAACTAAGAAAGTTTTTAAGACCGTAAATGTGTGAGAAAGAGAAAGAAAAATGTTGGAGAGTCATACCATTAATGATTTTGCAAACATAAAGATCTAAAAGTGTAATGTCAAATCGATCTTTGTACTCTTTGAAAATAAATTTATGGTAGATAAAATTATAATTACGGGTAATTTTTTTTACATGAGATGAACTATTAGGAATCTGAATCAACAGAAATAAATTATTTTTATTGTTAAAAATAAATAATCAAATCTTATAATTAATTATTTAGCAAGAGAATCCAACTAAATTATTTTTTTAATTCATCATATGAGTAAAATTATTTTTCAAGTTAAAGAAAATCTTATGGTACATAAATTTATTCCATGAAAAGAGTTTTAGAAATTAAAAAAATTAGATCACAGAGTAAAAAAGATTAGTATAATATTAAGAAGGCCATACAAGTGTTTGAGAATAAGCAAAATCCTGAACAAGAATAAGCTTTCAAGACTATATTATAAAAAGTCGACTATGCTATAGCGGGATTATCCTTTGTAGATTTCTCCGGTGGAATCAAAATAATATTCATATATCATGCATTACTTGCAAGTGTCAGATCAAGAGGCATGCTATTGTTAGCAATTAGAACAAATGGTGCACCATCAACAATTTTATTATTAGGTCGTACAACTCACTTTAGATTTGATATACCTCTTCAAATAACTGAAATAACCGTCACAAATATATCAAAGAAGAGAAATAGTGCTAAATTTATAAGGAAATCAAAAGTGATAATATGGGACGAAGCATTTTTGGCTAAGCGTCAAACGGTCGAAACATTTGCCTAGAGTTTTAGAGATATATTGGATATAAATGAACTGTTTGGTGGAAAAGTAATAGTTTGAGAGGTGATTTTTGTCAAGTACTATAAGTAGTTGCAAAATTGACGAAAGCAGAAAGTGTAAAAGCTAGCTTGCCAAAATTATACTTACGGCCTCAAATGAAAAATATTCAAATGACAAGAAATATAAACATAAGAACAGATCCAACATTTGTCGGAACCGAAGAAGTGCATCCAATAAAAGATGATTTGATTCTTCTAGAACACTTGGTTATCAACCTAACGGTAATAGTAGTGCATTTAATAAGGAAAATATGTCCATCATTAGATTAAAACGCAATTTGTGCAAATTACATGATAGAAATTAAAGAGCTATCTTAGCTAGCAAAAATGAATATATTGATAAACTAAAATAAAAGGTTGATTGCTAAGTTTTATGGTAAAAACAAAATATTTTTCAGTTTTAACTCGCAAAAGATACCAATAATTACTACCAAGAAGAATACTTAAATGCTTTAATACCAAACGGCCGTCTACCGTACATGTTTTTTGTCAAGTTCATTATTTCTTACGTATGTTAGTGTCACCATATATATATTAGACTAAGTTAAAATTGATCTTCCATTGCATATAGGTTGATTTTGAAGAAAAATATGTCCGTTCTGCTACTAAAAACTTAGATCCGGTGAATAACTTATGTAATACACATATGGTATATAGAAGTTTTGACAATAACGTCATACATGCAGAACTTATGATAATGTCAATGTGCTTCTAAGTATGTGTTTATCCCGAATTCAACTTTCAGCTTCCGAAACTAAAGAATATCCTTTTAAATTTGTGTGAAAATAATTTTTAGTATGTTTATGTTTTGTAGTTATTTAAATAAGCACAAGGACAAACATCCTAAATATTGGACTATATTTACAATAATATATTTTATTCCACGAATAACTATATGTTGCACTTTCAAGAGAGATATCAACATCGACAACAACAATGCTGGTTATGGCAGAGCAACCAAAGTATTAGAAGGAAACATACACAAAAAAAACATCGTCTATAAAAAAATATTCGGTAAGATACCATCACATTAGATACCTTTAAGCTACAATACATAATTTTCTACTAAATATGACTAAAATTGATCATTTGTGTAAGTTGTGATGATATCCTTTAATTTTGAATGCACATATTATACTAATGTAACAATATTTTTTGGCATTTAGATAATTTTTGTATTATTATATATAAAATTCTTCCATTAATTAAATTTTATTGTTCCTTCATATAAATAAATATTTAAACAATCATGTGCCATTATAAACGTGCAACGCACGTTTATAAATAAACTTCCACATCGTACAAGTTGATTTTGAAGCAAAATAAATTCATCGTATTGTTAAGAAACTTAGATACGTCAAATAGTTTATGTAATAGTATAAGAATAATATGTAGAAATTTTCACAACAATGTTATACATGCAGAAATTCTAATAGGTCAATGTACTTTCAAGCATGCGTTCATCCCCAGAATTCAGCTTTCGCCTCTTGAAAATGAAGAATATTCTTTCAAATTTATCGAAAAATAATTTCAGTACACTTGTGTTTTGCAATGGCAACAAATAAAGTACAAGGGGGAACAATTTCAAATGTTGAACTGCATCTGCCACAACAATTTTTTTTTTCGCACGGACAATTATATTACTGCATATTTAAAAGGAATATCAATATTTACAACAAACTATAAGTATAAAATAATATTATCTTACTAACATGACTAAATTGATCGTTTTTGCAGGTTCAGATAACGATGCCCAATCATTTTGAATTTACGTCTTATGCTAATGTAATGGTATTTTTCGACATTTAAATAACCGTTGTATTCTATATAATTCTCTGATTACTTAAATTTCATGTTCTTTCATAAAAGAATTGCCAAAATCATTAGGTACAACTTTTAACGTGCAACGCACGTTCATATAAACTAGTTATCTTAAAGGCGGCTATACTGTGTCATTTCTGAAAATGCAGGGTGCCAATTGCCATTTTTGCTCGTCTTCGAACCTATGTTATCAGCACTGTTTCTGCCTTAGTGATTATATTAGGTGCTTTGTGTCTAAGGGGTCGTTTGGTAGGATTTATTAGGGACAATAATAAATATATTAGCTTTGGTATTATTAATCCCTTGTTTTGACAGTGTTTTTTAATCTATGTTTTATATTATTCTTCTACGTAGCAAACCATGGCATTAGTATTATTATGATTTTTAATACATGGATAAGCATGTATAAAGACAACTACTCTTTCAAAATATTTTCCAAATCCTCTTCCAAGAATATGAAGTGTATTATTGTAAACAAATAATTTTTTTCCAAAAATAATGAAATGCATGTTATTTTTAATACACAAAACCCGGTGGCGGAAGCATGATTTTCACTAAGGATGTTCCAAAAAGAAAAAAAAAGTTCAAAAAATTATAGCTAGTGGGAATTCAACCAACGACCTTACAAAGGTTTTGACCTCCTTGACCACTAAGCTATACTTTTGGGCTGTGTCAGGGGGATTCAAAACATAATATATAAAGGTAAAAAAAACAGATCTTGCCTTAGACATACAGTGTAATTTTCGGCAAAAGGGATTCTGTGAACCCCTTCCGCGTCCCTAAAGCCCCTGACCAAACCAAATAGTTGATAAAAAATAATTATGGCATAATTAATCTCAGCATAAATGATCTCAGTATTACCATATTAGCATTATTAATACATCATATTCAGTACTATTCTTATACATCCTACCGAACGTACCCCAACTGTTTTTATAATGATATGGTTTTTTGACCAATAAAGCATCTATTTACCTTGTTTGGTCATCTATATATGAACTGAAGATGACCATAAGTCTTCATTAAGTTAATTTATCATGTTTTTCCCTTGATATTTCTTCCTGGCCCTTTAGTTAGCCTTAGTGAATTAACTGCAAATGTTATATTTAAGTTGTCAAAAGAATAGAAAAATGCATTACTTGTTGCAAATGAACCATCAAAAGGTAAAATTATATACCATCAGGTTAAATTACCTACGCAACAACTAACTATTCATAGTAAGTCTGAAATGGTAACATTATAGAGTAAACAACCGGCTGCACAAGTTAAAATACAACAACATATCCAATATATTCTCACATGTTAAAATATACTAATAATATAAAAATACCCAATATATTCTCACATGTTAAAATATACTAATAATATAAAAATTATTTACGATATCAGTGTATATGAGTTAAATCTATTACATACTCATGTACCTGATAGACCAAAGAAATTCGATGGTTTCATTTGTAGCCTCTTTCAAAAATTATCTTCTTACTTTCAGTTAACTTCTTGCAATTGTGTATTTACAGAAAAATTCACATACTTGCATGTAAGATTTTACAGAGTAATAGAAACTGTTTTATGCTGTCCAATTGTCTTCTACTATTTTTTAGTTTAACTATCAGGTATCTAGAACTTACTGATCAAATGGAGAAAGGTTCCATCTCGAGAACTCCAGTTAAAGGTGGAAGGATCTAATTCGTCCCACCATATCCATTGGAGTAACCAATTGTATCATATTCAGGATTCAACAATATGAATAGAAATCACAAAGCATTTCGAGCAACATCTCTTGCATGATGATCACATCATGAAGAACTGTTAAAAACTCCACTGAGGAGTACAATCCTAAACTTGTCTATCACCTGCAGAGCAGTTTGAAACATAAAACTAACATTTGTTGAGTATGTTGCAATCAATACAAACCAGAGAAGACAAAAATTTATGGATGAGAAAAGACAATTGAAGCGTGCGGAGAGGATCTTGGAAAGCTCAGGAACGTCTGTTCCATTTTATCCCGAGACACATCATTCCCTATGAATCCAGCAGCAATGACCAACTTTTCTAGCACTGTTGCATTTTTTAGCAGATATTTTACCAATAGAAGTACAAATTTAATTCCACTTAATGATCCAAGAAAGTTACTGAACTTGATGGTCTTCAGATGTGGCAATGAGCAGTTACCATTATGTGTCTCAAACCTCCTGACCTGTTCAACCTCATTTGTGTAACTCAACAGCCGGTCCTGCAGGAACAATCCGCTATGTTAACCAGTTATTCTCCGAAGATGGAAATTGAAAGTCAAGGAGTTAATTGTGGATAAAATTAAAAAGGAGATGAATTTTCAGATTTAAGGAGCATGTCAAGTGCTTAGCAAATGTTACAAAGTGCTACATGCAAAAAACAAATAGAATGTTTGAAAGCTTCATTGAAGCTGATGCTTCGTCTCCTCGTGTGAAGGTGAGTACTACCACCCCTTGTTAAACATCTTTATCAACAAAGTTGACTGTAGAACTGGATGACTCATAAGCTGATAGTAATAAGATGAAGTTTCTGCCAAAGCAGCTCAAACTGAGCTATTTCCTTGAGGAAAATAACTTGAGAGCAGATTTAGCAAAGAGAAATGATCAACTTTTTAGACTAAAAAGCAGATCCTGAACTCCTTGCCAAGTAGCATTAAAACTTTCAAATACAATTATTGTCGCAGATTGGAAAATCCTCCAATACAGGAACACTATTTTTACTTACACATTAGAGGCTTATCTCCTACAGTTTTGTCACAGTAGGAGAATCCTCAATCTTGTCTTTACTTGAGGATTGAACCGGATCAATTCTTACATTTTCTTTTTAAGTTAAGGCATTCAAGTCCCCCCTCTTCGTAACCTTTTATTATTATTTATGAAATATACCACCAAGGTGGTTAAAATTTTTTATAACAAAAATTCAGTGACTTTTATCTCATAAGTACTTAAGATAAGAAATATATTGATATATATCGCCTTCTTCTACCACTAATAGTTGCTTGACAAACATGAGTAACAAGAATAGAGGTCTAAATGGAACTTACTATTGGTTTGTGATTTTTCCAGTCAATGATCAATGTCTCAACATCCGATGAACTCTGCAGAAGGCTGTAAATTCCAGCGAAGTCCAAGTGTTTTAAGGCTGCATTAAGCTTTAAGAATTTGCAGCTTGATTGTGGAGATTGCCAACCTCTCAACTCCAGTATGGGAAAGCACTTACGAACCAAATACATAAACCAGAATATGTCAAACAAGGAAATGCGACACACCTAATAAATGACATGCAAATAGTTGAATAATTTGTAAAAACAGCTTGGATTATATGACAGTGTTTTGTCACAAGCCACATCAAAGTGTTCAAGGTTTGTTGGAAATCTAACTTGATCATTAATCACTTAGAAAAACCGATTCACATGACTTAAGAGTATGATCACTGTAAATCAATTGTCCATTGCAGATTCTTTATTCTCACAGCATCATTAAAAAATATGTTCAATAGACTAAATTGGCGATGAGAATGTTATTCTTCAGTAGTTACAAACTTAGTTATCACATTATCCTACGTAGTGGAACTGTTAATGTTACTAAACTGATAAATTAATAGCAAATAAAACGTCACAAGATGAAAAAAGAAAATCTGAATTTTGGATAATCAAAGAGTCAAGAGTATGAATAAACCTCGATGCACAAGGGACCCAATTCAAGATTCTTGACATGGGCAACACTGAGAAGAAGTTCCTTCAAATATCTACACTCCTCCTCCAATTTCTCTTTTTCATCTTCAAATTCAATAAAATCAACATTAAAATGAAGGACTGCAGTGACAAGTGAAGCCACATTGCTCTCGTGCAAGCGTATCTCATCGTAGAAGAACCCCGAAAGTACCAAATTTCGAATATACGGGGCAATTATTTCGAGCGAATTGGTATCCTCTTCATGCCATTTGTTACAACGATCATTTTCATCATTTAATATGATCAATTTTCTCAGCTTCACAGAGCTGATTTCCAAACGACTAATGCCCAAAACACTATCCAGTTCCAAGCTCTCCAAGTTAGGGCAACCGGACAATATCTTCTCCAACACACTATCCGTCAATTTCAGGTGACCAATTGAAAGAGAAACGAGACTACTCCAGTTCACACTACCAGAAGGGTTTAGCTGGCAGTTGTCTAAAACCAAATTCCTTAACGTCGTATTCTTAAACGCAAACTGAGGAAACTTATATGCGAAATCTGGAAAACTGACACATGCAAATTTAAGTGTGAACTCTTCAACATTAGCAACCTTACTTGCAAAATGTACCCAAAAATCCACATCTTTAACAATATAATATTTATATCTAAACGGAAAAACCCTAAATGCTTTGATTTTCCCGTAAGACCTCCAATAGTGAAGCTCTCTACTGGTGGAAGCTACAAAAGTGAGAAGTTCCTTTTTGCTTCTTTCATTAGAGGGATTATTAGGGACGCCGAAATTGAGCGACACTGCAACGGACCTCCAAAGAACCCGCCATCGCTGAGATAATACGCTGGTTCTCACAACTTCTTTTCCCTCCGGCAACATAGAAAGTATGTGGAGTAGAACTTTGTCGGGTAAATGACTGAGTCGGTCTCGATCTCCTTTCGCCATGATTTTACTCTCTTCCATGGAGTTTGATGAGCAATGAGTATGAGCGTCGCCGATTTTGTGCATTTTGTATTGCGGAGGGCAATTTCGGGTTTGGGTCAGTGGAGTTAGAAATTGGGCTTAGAATTTGTTGTTGGGCTTTTGGGCCCTAGATGTTATACAAATAGCATGATGTAGCCAGTTTTCGGATTGGTAATTAAAAATGTAAAAATTGCACGGGGGGTCCTATTTGGGCGCCCCCTTTTAACCTGTACCTGCTTTGTCTTTATGTTTGCACCCGTACCCGTTTTTTTGTTAAAAGCCATTTGAAATGACTATTTTACCCTTCTTTATTAAAAGACTACTTTCTCTCCAAGTATACGCTAGTGCTCTACTGTTTCTCTCTCCCGTTATTCGCGTTTTTCTATTTTCTCTCCTCAGTAATCAAACGGTTTTCGTTGTTCTTTCGAATTTTCAACTGCTAGTCGTCGTTGTTCCCATATTACGATTTAATCACAGGTACACTGCATTAACTTTCTAGGTTTTGTTTTATGATTTAATTTCTGGTTTTGGGTTTTGATATTCATGTATTTATGATAGGGCTTAGTTTGATAGGTTGTTCATGTTGTTAATGAAATTTCTATAAATTCTTCTGTGATTCGACGTTCAAATTTTTAAAAAATTTCAGAGTTAAACAGATGATAATGATACTTTAGGATAGGAGCTGAAGTTTTTTTTTTTTTCATGTTTTGGCATTATTTTTGGATTTGAATTTGTGTTTTGTTTTTTTGGCTGAATGTTTTGTGCTTGCCGAAGTTTTTTTAGTGCAATATGATTTTTTAATTTAGCCAGTGTAGGAGGAAAACTTCAGCCTCCTGCTGAAGTTTTTAAGTGATAACAACAAAACTTCAGCTCCTAGGCCGAAGTTTTTTTAGTGTAATATGATTTTTTTAATTTAGCCAGTGTATGGAGAAAACTTCAGCCTCCTGCTGAAGTTTTTGAGTAATAACAAAAAAACTTCAGCTGCTTGGCCGAAGTTTTTTTAGTGCAATATGATTTTTTTTAATTTAGCCAGTGTATGTGGAAAACTTCAGCCTCCTGCTGAAATTTTTGAGTAATAACAAAAAAACTTCAGCTGCTTGGCCGAAATTTTTTTAGTGCAATATGATTTTTTTAATTTAGCCAGTGTATGTGGAAAAATTCAGCCTCCTGCTGAAATTTTTGAGTAAGAACAAAAAAACTTCAGCTGCTTGGCTGAAGTTTTTTTAGTGCAATATGATTTTTTTAATTTAGCCAGTGTATGTGGAAAACTTCTGCCTCCTGCTGAAGTTTTTGAGTAATAAATTAAAACCTTCAGCTGAAGTTTTTGTTTTATACCAGCTGAAGTTTTTGTTTTATACCTGTTGAACTTAAGCCTTCTTAGGTGTTGAAGTTTTAAAAGATCTTTTTGATAATGTCCTGATGTTATTATTTGTATCTTTTACTTTTTTTTTGACAGATGGCTCCTAAAGATCCTAAAGTAGCTAAAGAAGGCAAAGCACCTAAAAAAGCTAGACTACCTGTAGTAGTCCCAGGTCCTTATGTCCCTCAGCCTCTACCTACAAAACCAGGACAAAAATATTTTGAGTTTACAGAATGGTTTAACTCTAAGGGTTACTGGAAGGGGAACCATGATTTGAAGAGTTTAATTGCATCTTTCTTGACTCCTGCACAACAGGCTAAGCTTAGTAATGGTCCATTTAAACACATTATTGCTATGGAGAATATCAAATACAGCATGAAGTTGGTTCATTGTCTGTGTCTTTCTTAAATATTCACGAATGATCGAGACTCTATTAGTTTCAAGATATTTGGGCATGATGTTTCCTTCACCCTTGAAGACTTTCACATTATGTGTGGTTTGCCGATAACAACACATAATATTGAAAAACCATTTAATCGAGAGTGCACTACTCTAAAGCGCTATTTTGGTAAGTCCAAGGGTGTGTATCTGAAGGATATTCGAGGTTTTATGACTCGCAATGCAATTCCAAAGAATGTTGTGAATCATCCACACGTATGCGAGAATGATGAAGATGCAGTTACGCTTGTGGAAATTCTTATTGTAGAGTCTATTCTGTTTGGGAAAAATAATGATTCATGTGTGAATGAGGAGTATGCATCTATCGTTGAGGATGAGAAGGCTCGTGTTGAATATCCTTGGGGTAATGTGGCTTATGAGAAGCTCATTTATTCATTGAAACATGCATTGGACAAGCAGAACACACATCATGCAACTGAGTATAAACTTACTGGATTTCCATATCCGTTATGTGTTTGGTTCTATGAGCGCTTCCCAGATGTTCGAAAGAAGTATGTAGCAGAGGATGAGTACCTTGATATGCCTCAGGTCCCCAGGATGTTACGTTATGTATGCGTGGGAGAGCCTAAATTTCCTGAACTTTATTATATGTTCAAAACTCATGAAGTAAGATACATTTTATTTTTATTTTTGTCTTTGTATTAATATGCTGATGTATTAGTTTTTTCTTCTCATAATATACTTTTTTGTATTAAACAGAGATATCGCGACTTAGGGTATTGGATATAATTCCTACAGAAGAGGAATTGAATTCAATGCCTTTAATTGGGAAATTACCGTGCAATCGGATTCGTTCAAATGTAGATAATGCAGTTCCTTCAACTGGTAAATCACCACTTACTCTGAATCGAAATCCTGTCATTGGTAAATCACCACCTACAAAGAGTCGATCAAAAGAAGTGAATCAAACTCATGACATTGGTGAATCACCACGTAGTCGGAATCAACCAAAAGAACTGAATCAATCTCCTTTTATTGGCGAAGCATCTCGTACCAAGAGTCGTTCTACTCCGTCTACATCTGACTTTGATGAAGATGAATTACTTGATAAAATATGCTCTGTAAGTTTTTATCTGAATTTTTTGGGTTTGTTTTTGTAAAAGTACAACATGTTTTTTGAGCTGAAGTTTTCTTCTATATCTGAATTTTTGTTGTGTTATCTATTGTAAAGGCTAACGACGGAGGTTCAAAGGCAAAATGAAAAAGAAAGAAGCACAATCGTGAACGAAGTTTTTGATAAGTTTAAAAAGGAGGAGCGAACTGCTATTGTGGATGCGATTTTTCTAAAAGTGAAGGTAAGCTAATTTATAGTGAAGCCTTTTTATTTGTGCTGATTTTATTTCAGATTAATCATTTTTAGTAATTTTTTTTCTAGGAATATTTTGATGAGAAGTTTGAACAGTTGTTTACGATTGTCAACAAATCAAATGGAATGGATCGAGAATATGACAGGATGAATGACTGTTGCGAAGATCCATTGGCTTTTGAAGGCGATCAAAATGTTCAAGAACAAGTTGAAGAGCAACGTTCCAGTCCTGATAGATTGAGCAGATATGTAAATGATGAAGCACATTTATCAACTGAGAATATTGGTAGTGAGGAAGGTGCTCATAATCAAGTTGTCGAGACTGAAGAACATACTGCTCATGATGCATTGCCTAATGTCGCAGATGATAATGCTACATATAATGAAGCGGCTGTTGGAGGCGTTGAACTTGTTCAACAACAAGGTGGAGAGAAAGGTGCAGATGATCAAGTTGTTGGCAATGAAAAACATGCAGCGAGTTGTGCTTCGGAAAGTGATCAAGCACCTGTTGGTACTTCAAATCTGAAAGACGATCGGTATGCAGGAGTAATAGCGATTTGCAATGAACTTCTAGGTGTTGCTACACAGGAAATTGTTACTACAGGTACAAATTACAAAACATGTTTTTTGGTGAATGTTTTGGTTTTGTAACTGGTAAACTTTCAGCTATAGAGCTGAAATTTTTTTTTTTATAATTGCCGAACTTCAGCTCTAGAGCTGAAGTTTTTTTTTATAACTGTCGAACTTCAGCTCTAGAGCTGAAGTTATTTTTTAGATAAGTGTTGAAGTTTTTATTTGTGACTAGCTAACTTCAGCCTTGTTAGAGTTGAAGTTTTAATTGTTTTCTTTTTATAATATCCTGTAGTGAAATTTTCACTACAGGTATAAATTTTTTTTTGTGTTTTATATATAGAAAAATTACTCGATCTATTCCCCCTCTTTTATGAATATGCAGTGGAAGTTGAAACTAGTTGTGGTTCAATTGGCACAACTCAAAAACTCTGTGATGATGCTCAATTGAATGAAGGTAAAGTTGAGAAAACCCTTCCAGAGAATACTGCAATGGTCGTCGACATTGGTTCAGAGTTGAATGATGCTGAAAATGCTGATATTGAGAAAGGCATGCAGCTTGGGGAAAGAACAGCGGAAGACAAACGTGAAGGTATTCTGTAGATCATGAATTTATTATATTTGATCGAAGTATATTTTCTACATTTTGAAATTTTACATATTTTATTTTCTTTTTTATGTTTTTGAATGATTTTTCAGAATTATTGGAGGCAGGTCGAAAAGAATTGGGTGAGATTCTAAAGCAATATAAAAAAGGAGAAATACATATATTCACACCTGTTGACTCACAGACAGGTGTGAAGTGTGTTGGTATTATTTTATAAAATTTAGTGAGTATTATTTATTAATTTTTTTTTGCATAAAGATACAAGATCTGTTGGAATGAAAACACCATCTGTGTCGCAACACTTAGACCAGGTAATCATTTTCTGCAATTATGATTACTGGCTTTTTTTTTGCCTAATGTGTATTCTCTATCAGTTTTATTTATGTTTATATTTTCCTTGCTTTTGCAGATCTCATCTGATGCATCAGAACTGCTTCCAAAACCTAAGAGAAGGAAGATTTCTAGTTCTCCTATGTGTGATACCAGTGATATCCCCAACTTCAATATATATTCATTTTTACTTGGTAGTACACAAGGGGCTGATTCAGAAGGTAATCTGCTACTGTTGTTGTTCGTGAAGAGACAGAAGAACGTCGTGAACAGCAGGGAATTGGTCAAGCATCCGCCACGATGGTTGTAGTTCCCCTCCCTCGCTGCTGTACAGCAGCATTTAGTTGTGACGGAACAACAGGAAGAGCAAGCAAAAGGAAAAGAAGATAAAAAAGGGAAAAG